CCTCCCTGTCTCCCAGCAGCACGGCTGCCTCCTCGCTGACACCTTCTCCTTGCTCCTCACCAGTTCTGACCAAGCGCTTAGTGGGAGCTTCAGCGAGCAGCCCCGGTTACCAGTCATCCTACCAGGTGGGGATCAATCAACGTTTCCATGCAGCTCGGCACAAGTTTCAGTCTCAAGCGGAACAGGACCATCAGTCGAGTGGTTTGCAGAGCCCACCGTCACGGGATTTGTCTCCTACTCTAGCAGATAACTCCGCCGCCAAGCAGCTGGCCCGCAATACGGTCACTCAGGTCCTTTCCAGATTCACCAGCCAGCAGGGACCTATCAAACCTGTCTCCCCTAACAGCTCACCTTTTGGCACGGACTACCGAAATCTGGCAAATGCTGTGAGCCCCAAAAACGAATCTGGCCACTCTCCAAGCCCTGGCAAGGGTTCCAGTCCGCTAAGCCCACTGTCTCCTGGAATTAAGTCCCCAACCATTCCTAGAGCAGAAAGAGGGAACCCTCCACCCATTCCTCCAAAGAAACCCGGCCTCGCTCAGTCACCTGCTGCTCCTACTCCGCTAACCAAAACCTCTTCCCCGGCCCCCTCTCTGGGTGCCCCCATGGATGTGGCCGGCAGCTGCTCGAACAATACCGTAGTGTCCAACGGCAAGGACGCTGAGCTGCTGCTGCCAACTAGCAGCTAGTCTCCAGAAAATGTGAATGTGACATTCCATGGCTTAGCACCCTAGAGCTAAGACACTGTTTTTCCACTCCATGTTATTTATTTCCATAGTAGCAGATTCTGTCTGTATAAAGCATTTAGTATATTTTTTTTTTTCCTTTTGTAATAGCTAGGAAAATATTTTTGTTTATGAAGAAACCTTAACTACAGCTATACAGTAGCCTCAAAATGTCTCATGGCAACAGTCAAATCATTAGAGATAACGAGAACCATATCACGTGGTGGGACCTGACTACCGAGCTCTAATGGGACTGAAATGCTACTTTTAAATTATGCAGAAATAACTTTTGCAGACTTTTTACTCCAGATGAACATTTTCTAAAAAGTGCCTGAACTAAGCCTGCAATATGAATGTGATTCTCTGGACAAGGCGAGGGGGGGACCATCTAGCTGCAGAAACAAATTCTTCTGTGAGTCCTGAATGTTGAAACCAACACTGGTTTTCTTTTTAATTCTTCCCATTTGCTAAAGTAAGTTAGCAAATGTGCTTCACATTCTGTAAGGTGACCACCAGACCCACGCCGCCAGCCACGCTTTGCCCTTCAGGACACGGCTCCTAGCTGTTTGAAGGAGCACGCCTGGGTCTCTTGGGGTAAAATTTGGCCGTGATACAATCCAGATCGCTTTTCTCACAGTACTCGTTGGCCACGCCGTTGCCTCTGCTCCCCTGTAGCCCATTCCGCAGGGGTGCCCGCGTGCTTTAAGTGGCTGAACTCTGGTGTCTGGTGCGTCACCTTGAATTTTCAAGCTCTTCAAGCATTCTACTGTCGTGTGTAGAACTTCTGAGAAAAGGATCTTGCTATTACTTGACAAAGATCTCGCTATTACTTGAAAAAAAAAAAAATCACTAGTCCATATGATACCGGTTTTTTGCAACAGTAACATGGGATCTTCTACTATAAACAAAAGCAATAATTTTGTTCCTCATCTCTATCAGTTGTGTCTGGCTGACCTGGATTTTACCCGCTAGTTAGCCGTGGGATCTTGGCTGCAAATATGGAACCAAATCGTTACTGGCGTGGAACTGAGTATGTATATATGTGTAAGTAGTTTCACACGCATACATACTAAACACAGTGCATTAGGAAAACCTTTATCTATTCTTGATGTTCTGCCTAACGTGAAGAAAATGTGGGAATTCATTGAGATTAAAAAAAAAAAAAAAGCACTTGGGAATTGCCAAAGTTTGAGGCAAATCATGTGTGTGAAAAAATTATTTGAGCCCAAGAGGGGAGAAGCAACCGGCTCCTGTGCAGAAGGGTTTGCTGCAGGCGGTGCAGCCCGCCCGTGCTGCCCATGGCTCAGCCGCACAGCACGGTTGGTTTTCTGAGTCCCTGCGGTGAGAAATAGAAGCCAAACGCAGCGCAGGTCAGAGGCTGAGAGCACAGCCCTGAGTTAGTTGTCTCGGGTGGTTTAAGTGAACTGATCCTGAATTTAGAAGCTGGCCTTGCTGCTCAGCGTCACTCCATGTTCAGCGTTTCCCTCTGCGGCAGCGTCACGTTTACGCAGAGCACAGCCTCCCGCTGCCAGAGAGGTTGGTGTTTTTCCATATTTAATTAGACAAAATATGTCCACCTTTAGGGACGATCCCCCCCACCTGGGGGGGTGCACTGCTGTACCCTGATGGGTTCCTGCTGGCTGCGAGTCCCCTTGGTGGGACACGGAGCTCCGCTGCTGCGCTGAGGTGGCCCTGGTCTGAGGCGGCCCCGCTGTCCTCCCGCGCGGCCGTGGCCGGTATTTGGGCCAGAGCAAGAGGTGGTCGCAGACCTTTCGGCAGCCTTTTAAATGGTGGTGGTAGGTGATGTTGTTCCTGCTCCGCAGCACGGGCTGTGTAGGAACAGCAGGGGGAGAGAGGCAGCCTGGAGATGAAGGGGCGGTGACTTTTGGAAGCACATTTATTACTTTTTTTAAGTATCCACAGCAGATTTTTCCTCCTGATGGGCAGGTGGACTTTGGCCCATGTATCACTTCGATTCAAAAGTGAGGCTTTTGTATACACTGCTTTAACGCGTTTCTTTGCTTTTACATTAATCTAAATGGTATTATCCCTTTCTTTATCCATAGCTCTAGAGAGAGAGAAATGCTATGATGAAGTCTGTTAGGAAATGCACTGAGTACTGGTTCCTCTGAAATACAAATGGGAAGGGGTATGCAAAAGAATGTATTTTTGCTCGTAGCCTATCTTCTGAGAGAAACTAAGCACAAGATACTAAAATGGATCCAACTAATTCAGTGAGACGCGTAGAGTTAGTATTTAACTGTCGATGTAGTTCTGTGTGGAAGCAACTAGATATTCTATAACTCACCTCTGTTATAAGCAGACGTTGTTGCAGAGTTTGTCACTGGCTAATGGAGTGTCATGAAGTGCAGAACGCATACACTAGTATTAATTCATTAACACTTTGTAAATTTGTAAAGCCAAATGTACCAAGCTGAAGTCTTTAATCATTTTTATAGCTGACGGCATTAAACATGTTAAACATTCATATTATCAATAAAGGATTTTATTTTTAAGATGTGCAAATTGCTTAAGAGAGAATGTTTGGAGTCGGGGCTGCGTGTGGACCGGGGCTGCCTGGCAGGGAGCGGTCCCGGGGGTGGTAGCTGGGTGCCTGCACTCCCGTGGAAACCGGAGCTTTAATGTACGCCCTGACATGCCAGAAGGAAGCAGATCTCTTCGGATGACAATCGATGATGAGCGGTTGTGGCTCCCGCAGCCCGCCTGTATCGCTGGTCCATCCGCATCCCGCGGCGCTGTCCCCTGGGAGGTTCTCTGGCTCCGGAGAGCCATGGCATTTCGGCATTATTAAGTGAGAACAATTTTCCTCCTTGCCACAGTCTAAGGATATTAAACTGGTGTTGCTTTGGGGGTATGGTACTAACAAACACGTTGGGTTTGGGGGAGGGCGTAGGTGTGCCGGTGCCCTGCTGCTTGTTTTTCAAGCAGGATACAGAATTTCCGATGGAAGCCCCTCTGCCGCGGAGGGTCACGGCTCGGTCACGTCACGGGATGCAGCTGCGTGTCCCAGCCCGGTGAAGGCACTGGCTACGGAAAGGTCCCCTTGCCCTGGGATGCAGCGTGTCTGTGCCAGGAACTGGGGGGCTGCTCCAGGTGCCTCCCAGCCCAGCCATGGGGAAGAGTCCTCGGCTGCTTTGTCTCCCTAATATATACCTCAATAGTGACCCGATTTTCTTATCTTTACATCGATTCAGCTGAACAGGTTTTGCAACAGCCCGTGAAGAAGCTTTGTGCCTGTCCTCAGGCTCGCCGGCATCTCAGAGGAGTCCTGCGGGAGCGATGGCCGACAGCAGAGGCCACCGAAGGAGCACGGCTTCCCTCCTGCAACCGTCCTCTCCAGCAGCGCCCGGGGAGGAGCCCTGCCCGGGCCGGAGGCAGAACTGGCGTG